TGCCTGATGTATTTAATTTTGATATGTATTTTTGTAATCTTGCTCGTTAAAATCTCGATATCTGATATAAATCCCGTTTATTACAATTTTATACCTTACAAAGAAAATACATACAAAGTATACCAGTAAATCAAAAATACAAATTCACCGCCCTGAACTCCACGCCGAACAGTCGCCGCAATTACGCCACTTGTTAAAAGAGCCGACTTTTTCAACAAAAAATGCTTTTTCTCTTGTGCAAATAAATCAATACATATTTAAAATGTTTTATTTTATTAATTCAATTGTCTTCGATTTAATTGCGTCGACAAAACAAGAACCACTCTAAAACACCAAGGTAATCCGCGAGCATAAAAATGTGTGGTAAACTGCCGATTATATACTGTTTTGATCCGTATTTTTGCTATTTTGCGAATTCGACAAATTTGAGATGTATTTGGCATACTGACTCCGCTCAATCGCAAGGCTGACACTCCGATTATTTTTATAAATAAAACATTAAATCTGCTGTAAATTCTCACGGACAAAAATTTACTTCAGTACAATAAAAATTGATCGAATATATTTAAGATTAATTATCATATATATCATCACAAACCGGGAAAAAGTCGCGTTCTCAACCTTGTTCAATGATAACACGAAAATATTCGACGGCAATTTTAAAGTAATGAATAAAATAGCAAATCTAGCCCACAATTAACCGTGTCGAACCCGTACCTCCTGGCTGCGCCACTGTTTGTGCCCATATTGTCCGAGGATTGCTATTATCTCTATATCACACGATTTATTATGTGGCAAATAAAATTATAAAAAATATGGCAAAAAATATATTGACTCACCCTGTGATCGCTCGCGACTGACCTTGGGTTTCGTACTCGAATATTTCAAAGACTGAATACCTAAAAACAGGATTTTGAAATTTGTTGATCAGAAAATACATTACGGAATCAGTATTACGTTACTACTCAAAATAGATTTATAATTCAAAAAATAAATTTCATGCAAATCAAATATTCACTTGCGTAGCTAATTACATTAACAAAATATATTGAAAAGTTATAAACACTGACAGAGCATAAAGCAAGTTGCATACAAAGTTATTTCTAGTTTATATTTTACATATTTTTAAAAACTTACCATGAATGTTGAGTACTGGAAATTAATAAATTATTTATTAGTCAATACAAAGTAAAAGCATAAAGTTAAGGAATAATACCACTAACTACATGAACAACTGTACTTAATGTCAAGAGCATATGTGACCAGATCACATAATATTTCTTGTATACCTTTTATAAGGTAGAGCACTCATGCAGAGTCATAGCAAACTGCATTGCTAACAGGATGCATGATATGAAATTGTAAAATATAGCGAGAGGATATGATTTAATGTTACGAATATAGAATTAGATTGATTAAACATTTTAAACTAATCAGAATTGCCTCCACATCATAAGATTAAGTTTTTTATTCAAATACTATGGACCTTTTCCCGACCTTTGACCCCCAAAAAATTCTTCCTATATTTTACCATTGCAAAATTTTCGGAGCTATTGTTAAAAGTGATTTTGCAAGTTGGCGCCTGTAAAATGGGGTATGTGTTTAAAATTATCATTGTGATTCATCGCATACAACAATCTGTTTTTTAATTAAGTACCGGTAAAGATTTTTAGCCTAGTTTATCATAGCTAATTCTACACTAATTTTTTTATTACTGCAATTAAATTAGTCCTCCTAGGAAGACCGAGTAATCATTGAATTATCTGATTTATGTTTAAGTTTCCGGAACACAACAGAAAATTAACGAATAGAGTTCAAAAACGCGAAAACGAGTTGTTGTTTACGACCACGCTTAAAAATCTGTCTGAGTGAGAAAAGTGTCTGAGCGGATGCGAAAAGGAAGCATGGTTACGTCACTTTTTGCATCTTGCTGATTGGCCAATGTCACGAAGTAAACAAGGAACCAGATTACCAGATTAAATCTAACATTGATTTATTTTGATGGATAAATAGAAGATTTAATGTACTACAGGGTTGTCCAACCTTTTTTGACAAAGGGCCATATTCAGTCTACGAATGATTACGCGGGCCACTTGACATGGTAGTTATGCTTTAGTTTTCACCTCAGCGACTACAGATCAATGAAAAACAAACAAAGCACCTAAATTACAAGAACAATGGAAATACGAAGATACAGTAAAGTCAAAAGTTTCAACCACACATAGATATTTCAATGGGAATTATGGCACTGCGTTGATTCAATAAGTTTATCAATAGTAGGTGCAATGGACGATGTAGCAATGCGGATCGGATTTTTCACGTGGCTTTCAGAAATTAGTATCTCAAGGGGGATTTTACATGGTTCATCTATGAAAACACTGCCCCTAGAAGTAAATGCTGTCAAATATTGAGGTTATAAAACTGCCTATTCTGCTTCACAGAAAAAGGACAGGGAAACGGATTAAAATACATGGCAGACGATAAAAATAAATTCAAACATGTCCCAATAGCAATAACGATCACAAATGTACATGAAAGAGGCTTTCGATAGCTAGGCGGTTCTTCTCGCGCGTTTGAACGACAATTTTTTTATTAGAGATTCAATAATGGCTCAGATTTGTGAAAGACATTGGAATTCGAATAATACCGCGCAGGTCACTCGGGAACCTTCGGCGGGCCACATGTGGCCCGCGGGCTACGGGTTGGACGACCCTGATGTACTAGCTCTAACGATACTGGGCTTTAAAACAAACTAATACAACGTAAAGCAAGTTATAGAATATGAATGAAATTTAAAATTAGAAAATTTCAAGGCAACAGGCGTGAACCGAGAATGTGTTATTATTTGGGTGAACTTTTGGAAATTTACACGCGAGATTGGCACTTCTATATGATTAAGTACTGAATATGGGAAATATGAATCAATGCGAAGAATAGATTTCCGCACCGGCATGATTGATCTGAATATTAAGAAATATGAAGTGAGAGTAGCCATTATGTTTAATATCACGAATACAGCATAAACCTTAAACACCAAACCTTCAATTGTATCTAGTTTTATTATGATTTGTATGTGCCTGGTTATTACCATTACCCATAAACATTTTGATTCGGTTCTACAACTCACAAATCGCCCGACATGAAATTTAATAAATTAATTTGGGGCTCCCGAGGTATGCGAACCAAGATGGCGGACATTGGAATGTAATATGTGTACTAGGTTAGGGTTAGTCCATAATTTTAGGTATAAATACTACGGGAGGCTCTTGGCTAGTCTTCGAACTGATAATAGGACTAAAATAAGGAAAATTGGAAAAAAATTATCGCCTAACCCTAACCTGTTACCCATGTTACGCTCCGATGTCCGCCATCTTGGTTCGCATACTTCGGGAGCACCATCAATTTTTTATTAGTCGAGACAAAATTGAAGGATCAGTTTGAGGAATATTGCTACTAAAGTATGACCAAATCAGATTATCCGGAGTCGTCAAATAATTTTTATGAAGTTAGGATGAAGCGTACCTAGCGATAAAAGCGTTATATTTAACGGGTTCAAATCCCATTCCCACCACCGAAGCGAAAAAATCTCAGGTTTTTTAAAAATTAGTAGCACAGGTCTTATTTGGAAAGACTGTTTTGCGTTGTATGAGTGATTTTTTGCCATTCTGTCTGGTCGTTATGTTGCTATGTCTTTCATTAATATTACAATCATGAAGCATAAACACATTATTAATTACGGAACAAAGGAAATTAGTTTTCCAAAGTTACACAAGAGACGGTCGGTATCCAACCGATGGGTTGAATTGACTCTGACAAATATCGGAATGTTTACATACTTGCACGCAACCTTAAATCTTCAGAAGCAATATCTTCAGATGAATTATCTAAAGAAAAATTGATATAAAATTTGATGATATTTAACGTTTGGAAAAATGCAATTTTTCAGTTTTTCCTGGCTTCACACAGCAGAATTTTATATTAATTATTGGGCAAGTTTCGACCCCCCCATTTTTATCAAACATCACAGTGCTGGTAGATATCAATAATAGAAAATAACGCAGCATTCCGATTCCGCAAGAATCTTTTAACATTGATGGATTTTTACCCCGGCGGAGAGCTTCGTGCCTGGGCGCGCAGGCAAGATTTTTAGAAAGGGGGAGGGGGGGATAAGCTGCCTGATGTATTTAATTTTGATACGTATTTTTGTAATCTTGTGACCTCGTTAAAATCTCGATATCTGATATAAATCCCGTTTAGTACAATTTTATCCCTTACAAATAAAATACATACAAAGTATACCAGTAAATCAAAAATACAAACTCCACGCCGAACAGTCGCCGCAATTACGCCACTTGTTAAAAGAGCCGACTTTTTCAACAAAAAATGCTTTTTCTCTTGTGCAAAAAAATCAATACATATTTAAAATGTCCTATTTTATTAATTCAATTGTCTTCAATTTATTTGCGTCGACAAATCAAGAGCCACCCTAAAACACCAAGGTAATCCGCGAACATAAAAATGTGTGGTAAACTGCCGATTATATACTGTTTTGATCCGTATTTTTGCTATTTTGCGAATTCGACAAATTTGAGATGTATTTGGCACACTGACTCCGCTCAATCGCAAGGCTGACACTCCGATTATTTTTATAAATAAAACCTTAAATCTGCTCCAAATTCTAACGGAGTAAAATTTACTTCAGTACAATAAAAATTGATCGAATATATTTAAGATTAATTATCATATATATCATCACGAACCGGGAAAAAATCGCGTTCTCAACCTTGTCGAATGATAACACGAAAATATTCGACGGCAATTTTAAAGTAATGAATAATATAGCAAATCTAGCCCACAATTAACCGTGTCGAACCCGTACCCCCTGGCTGCGCCATAGTTCGTGCCCATATTATTCGAAGATTGCTATTATCTCTATATTACACGATTTATTATGTGGCAAATAAAATCATAAAAAAATGGCAAAAAAAATATTGACTTACCCTGTGATCGCTCGAGACTGACCTTGGGTTTCGTACTCGAATATTTCGAAGACTGAATATCTGAAAACAGGATTTTGAAATTTGTTGATCAGAATTTAAAAAGTTCGAACTCCTCTGACACGACAGTTACTGGTGGTATATCCCCAACTAAATTAGTAGCCGATATGTTTCTAAACGTTGAACAAACATAACGTGTGCCGTAGGTACACGAAATGTTGCAATTTTCAATGCCTAGAAAAGATTTTTTAGACTGTCGCGGGCTTCAAAAAGGCTTATATTGCTTACGGTTATATTTTTTTTCAGTATTTTTTATTGCCGCTTTGCCTCCATCATTAATTCTCATGGAGTAAAATTTATTTCAGTACAATAAAAATTGATCGAATATACTTGAGATTAATTTTCTTATACATCATCACAAACCGGGAAAAAGTCGCGTTCTCAACCTTGTTCAATGATAACACGAAAATATTCGACGACAATTTTAAGGTAATGGATAAAATAGCAGATCTAGCCCACAATTAACCATGTCGAACCCGTACCTCCTGGCTGCGTCACTGGTCGTGCCCATATTATTCGAGGATTGCTATTATCTCTATATCACACGATTTATTATGTGGCAAATAAAATTATAAAAAATATGGCAAAAAAATATTGACTTACCCTGTGATCGCTCGCGACTGATTCTGGGTTTCGTACTCGAATATTTCGAAGACTGAATATCTGAAAACAGGATTTTGAAATTTGTTGATCAGAAATTGAAAAGTTCGAACTCCTCTGACACGACAATTACTGGTGGTATATCCCCAACTAAATTAGTAGCCGATATGTTTCTAAACGCCGAATAAACATAATGTGTGCCGCAGGTACACGAAATTTTGCGATTTTTAATGCCTAGAAAATGCCTTGTGGTTTATTGTAATCGTCGCCGCAATAAGTCAAAGCCAACATGAAAGAATATCAATCAGCACCGACAAAAAAAGGCCTATCTATAACTAGGGATTTTTTCAAAAATAATTGTTTGCCTGTTTTGTTCAAAATGGCTGTACTATTTGATTTTTTTGTATTGGATAGGTTGAAGAAAAATGGACGTAAAGACTTGCCAAGCGCTTCTTATTTGCAATAAATCTTTCAAAACGTCACAATTATCGATAGAGGCTCATGTACACCTTCTCAAGCTGTAATTCAGTGGTTGGCGCAGTAAGACGCAACCGATAAGCCATTACGTGAACGACCCTGCTGCGATGAAACCACCTTGCGAAAATTGAAATGCGATCGAATAAATGAGTTTGTATAACCTTGAAACCTCTATCACTTCAACCTTAAAAACAAAGCATGCTAAGCATAAATTCACCGAACAGTATTAACGTAATAATGCCCTCATTTCATGAGAAAAATGTCAATACATGAACTCGAAATCCATATTATGGCGTCATAACAGATTAGTTGTGGCGTCTTTGCATCCGAGGACTACTACAATTAGCATAGGCTAGGCTAGGGTGTCTCGTCGTTTATATCAGTAGATTACCGCCGATATAAGCACATATTCTTCATTATCGCAACCCACTCGTTTTGCCGAAGGGATGCACTTGATCTAATTGCTTTTGTAGTGGGCTCGTGAGCTAATTTTCGTGATTATTGTTACTCAAAACGTCTCTCTGATATCTTGGCTAAACATTTCGGGTATAATCTTATGACTTTGGTGAAGATACAAACGTGTCGATATATGTACGCAATAGAAGTAAAAGAGAAATTAAAAAATTTTACGTACATTTTTGAAATTATAATTCCGGCTGCGTGTGCAGCTGCCAGAATGCAACGTTTTGGCGTAGTTTCGCGGCGATGCAAGGGGTATTTCAATAAGAAATACAAAAAATACAGAAAAAAAAATAATTCAAAACAAGCCCTTGTTTTGAAACACGATATTTTTTTTAGAATTGATAAAAAACAGAACCCTATCTTTAGCCGTCGAGGATGTTTATTTACTTTACTATTTTATAATATTTTACAATTGCTATCATATATTGGGACAGTCTAGGGCAGGGATGGCGAACCTTTCTCAATGAATAGGTCAGAAATTTTATTTTTATCGCGGAACTGAAGTGAGTGGGTCACAGATATTTAATCAATGCTTGTATCTATGAAAAAATTCTGAAATCCTATAAGCTTCTGTAGGTGGTGGTGTAGTTTTGTGCTTTACTTATGCAGGACTTCTATCAGGGACTTTTTATGGCACTGGATTTTATAAAATTAGAGTACGAAAACACGCATACGAATAAACAAAAACGTTTAGGATGATGCGGCAAATTATTTTACGGTTACAAAGAATTTAGAGGTAATTCAACTCTGATAGTTTTATATTTTTCAATCAGCTTTCAAGCACATTAAGGCACTTTTACACTGCCCCATTGTTATTTCAGATTTCTAGGTTTTTATTTCAAGTCTGGAAGATTTTGCTTTCTCAACGCCATTGTAGGCGAGAAACTAATAAAATGCAAAGTAACATCTAGTTCTCTTATAACCCCTAAAACAGTCTGCAGATGTACTTCCGAAAGAAACAACACGTTGCGAGAAATGAACGAATCAATTGCATTGTTGTGTCATAAACGATGTCTGAGCCAATAGCTGAATAACGATACACAGCGATGCAAACAAGCGTCCAACATTAGGCGTTTTGAAAACTACCATAACGGCACGGAAATTAACAATTTAAATGAGCGATCGCAGCCCTGACTGCCCAACTGACGGTACATTATAATAGTTTAGTTATTGTTAGATTACTTTAAGGCCGGTTTTATCAATTTTTATCACTGATATATTAACAGTTTATATTTAAATTTTATTCGTGCCTTGGCGGGTCACGAATAAAACGACATGGGTCACTTTGTGACCTGTGGGTCAGTGGTTCGCCATCCCTGGTCTAGGGCTAGGCGGTCATGTCAATATATCTATAAAGAAATTGTGTAGTTGAACCAAATTAAAATAAATATCTGCGTAGAGGGATAATTGTGTCGGAATTTAGTATATCGATGTCGACGGACTAAACGACACCCGTACTTGACGACAAACAGTCAGAATTTATAGCCGTACCCAAAAGCGCATGTGTCGTTAATAAGGACTCCAATTCCAGTGTATGATTCAAAACTAGGCGCCTAGTTGCTTTTTGGTATGTGTTGTGTTGTTATATTTCTTCACAATTACTATGTAATATTAAAAATTACAATATAAAAATTCGACAGCAAAAATAGCCAAATTAGTTGAGCTAGTTTGGCTTATAAATAGCTAAAAACGGGTGAATCCTATTCCCTCGCGAGGGTGGGACTTGTATGGCTCATAGATCACGATCTCTCCAGACAAAAAAATAAATTAAAAAGTAGTATTCCAACTTTTCTTTTAAAGCATTCTGGACCATATCAAAAAGGTAAAAATCGAAAATGTCGGCCTTAATCTAACCGATACATGTCAGATACCGAAAAATGGCCGATATTGCCGATACCGATACATCTCTATATTACATCACAAACTTGACGAACTTTCTTATCGTTAGTATTTCTACTTGTCACTACGAATTACTGTGCTCAGTTATCTTGAAATAATGCATGTTTATGGTACTTACCGCCACTTCCACTGGCCTGGTTGTCCATGATCCCGTATTTCTTGTATTTTTATTCCAGCGATAGTTGAAAATTATTATCAGTTAATTTAGGATATATTTGTTCTGAAGTATATAAAAATATTGTTATCACAATTTGGTGTTGTCTCGTCATAAAAATAACAAGAAAAATCTTTTGACATATTGTTGCACCACTAATGTCACTAATTTGACTGGTACTAAATGAGCTTGGCTAGTCTAAATTGTTAACTGGCTTTCTATCCTTTTTGTCGGGAGTATATGCTAACAAAATAGGCTTCACAGAAAACTAAAAATTTCATGAGGAATGTATTAGCCTAAGTTGGCTATGCTTGATAACTAAATATTAACAATATAATTCCTGTCGGGCGTTTACAGTATTACAAAAAATTATGCATATATGTCAGAAAATTTATTAATTACTCTCCCTGTATCTCAAATTTGATAAAATTCGGTGATCAATCAATCTGCAGTAATTTGCAAGTTATTCTGTAAACATGAGTTGACTTTTTCACGTTATAGTGAGTTTTTAGTGGTTTTTACACGTTTTAGTTTGATAAATGAGAATCAATGCGTTTGGACAATAGAAATGTTTGCTTTGTATTGCACTGTTTACCCATTGTGGCCCGCGAACAATACAAAAACAATAGTGTGACTTGAACATTAGTATATGCTGTTTATAACTTACACATTCGTAAATACCATTATACCTTACCTTTAGGAAATACGCATTAGCAAATGCCGTTATTGCTTTTGCATTGGCAAATGCTGTTAAAAGTTGTAAATACCGCTATAAATTCAACATTCGCAAATACTGCTACCGTTCATATGATACTGTAACTAGTATACATCAAATTTACAAATACTGTTATGACTTAAACATTGTCGAATAACTTTGTAACCGCTATGCACCATCATTTGTAAAATATTGTTATGACTTATACATCAGTAATATTTGCGAAATTTAATACTACTGTAATCGCTATGGACTAACATTTGTCAGTCATTTAGTAGATTAACATTTCCACTCATAAATCCCGCTTTGACTGTAATTACAGTTACTCTCATATATACAATATGTAGGGTTATCATATTTATTCGACTTCAAAACGGGACGCCTCCTGCAACTTTACAGTTTCCGATTTTACTACATAGGCCTACATTTAAGCCATCCCGGCTGTCTTCATTGACCATATTGTCATCGAGAGTTCTAAATATCTCTGTCTAAATACCGGGTTCAGTTCGAAAAGTAGAAGGGAATGAACCTTTCCCCGAGCTTGGACTTTCTTGTTTACTTCGTGACATTGACCAATCAGCAAGATGCAAAAGAGACGTAACAATGCTCCCTTTTCGCATCCGCTCAGACACTTTTCTCACTCAGACAGATTTTCCGACGTGGTCGTAAATATTATTATTGGACACGTAGTGGACATAACGATCGTTTCAATATTATGTTGTTGTTGTTGTTCTTGTTCTTTGACACGTTTTTAAAAAGTCGCTTTTCTCTTTGATTACTGAACTAATTGCTTTGAAATTTTCAGTGGTTGAAGATGAAATTTTTCTCCAGAAGGCTATTACTTTTATTTATTTCAAATATTTCTGTTAGCGATGTAAGATTTGTTTTTGTTTGCTATGACGTCACTAAACGTTCTGCGGATATCGGACGCCATTTTGTGTCCAACGGACCATCTTGCAATTTCAATTCACGCTGTCACAAGACAGGACCTTCTAAAGATAGAGAAGTTCTGGTACCGTAACACAGCGCGGTGACACTGAACTAACTCCTAACTGTCAAAAGCTTGAAAGTTTATACAAATATGAGAAATAAAAAGATGAAACTTGGCAGGTGGGTAGAGTTGTGTTTCTTTTAACCATATTTGAAAGTTTCGCGTTTCTACATTTGAAGGAGGGGGAATAGGGGGTGTGCATTTCCGATACGTCGATAATATCTTTGTCAACCAATTTGCGGCCACCGTGTTTTCGTCTGTTTGATTGCTGTGATGTGGTGCTTTGTTTATAATTTAACGAGTTTTGTTCGAATAACCGTGTTCTTGAAATATATGACGGTCAGAAATGCAATTAGAAAGCCCCAATGTTTTCACGTGTCACAAGACAGGAACTTCTAAAAGATAAAGTAGTTCTGGTACCGTAACACAGCGCGGTGACACTGAACTAACTCGTAGCTGTTCAAAAGCTTGAAATCCATACAAAATAAGAGATAAAAAGATGAAACTTGGCAGGTGGGTAGAGTTGTGTTAACCATCTTTGATAGTTACTTCTCTCCCCCGGGATAAATATGTAAATCCTATCCTAATACGCCGATAATATCTTTGTCAACCAATTTGCGACCACCGTGTTTTGTCTGTTCTGAATTGCTGTATGGCTGCGTATGCGATAGTCTTATGACGCAGCAGAAACGATGATCAAGGGCTTGAAATCCGTGGTCGCACACTGGGTCGTTCGGGTCGCAAATCCGTCTTTCGAGTGCCGTACTTTGGGAATTGTGTATAGCTTTAACCCTTGTCGTAGAAAGTTAATACGAGGTTTAGCGTGGCTAGAATAAATGCCGCCAATGCACCACGGTGAAAAAATTAACGGGTTAGATATATTGGGTTTTTGTTTTATAGCGGTTTGAATGAAATTGTCCGCAGACTGGGCTACACCACCCTAGGCCTGGTGAGTTGTCCGTGTAGTCGAATTGTCCATCAGCCCTAAACGGCTATGACAGTCACTGTACCAGAAAATTGTACCCCGATTCGGCTGGTGTTAAGTTTGACGCATGTTATTTAGTAACGTTTTTATGTGAAATGTTTGACTGTGGTTCGGTACCTGATCCGATTAATACGGTACATAATTGACTCATATCACGAGATATTTCAACTGATGTTTCAATTGTCACAGGACCTAAAATATCTATGACAGTCCCTGTACCGTCACGGTACCCCGATACAGGTACTGGTAAGTCACCGCCGGTATGTTAGTCGTTGGTCACCGCATATGATTTTTGGGGAACTGTTCTGCGTGTCCATATATTTGAGCATTGCTCTCTTGTTCTTTATCGGTACTTTTAGGAAACAGATTGTTGTATGCGATGAATCATAATGATGGTTTAAAACAAATAACCCATTTCACAAGGGCCAACTCGCGAAACAACTTTCAAAATAAGCCCCGAAAATTTAGCAATGGTAAAGTATAGGAAAATTTTTCGATGTCAAAGGTCCATTGACGCTAACGATACAAATGCGATACACATATATGCTGCTAGACTTCTACTGCTTGAACATATATGCAACACGCCGCGGTTTCTTGGAAGCAAAATGCTCAATAACGCGCTGATTAAAGTCATGCATCCCAGAAATAACGTCTCTGTGAATGGATGAAACAGCCAAGGAATTTAATCTATCTTGCTTCATTGTGTTTTTGAGATACGTTTTAATACGCTTCAGCGTGCTGAATGTTCGCTCTGCGTCGGCGGAAGAAATAGGCGTCGTCAAAATGATGTCCAGAAATTTTGCAGACGCCGCAAAGGTAGTTACTAGAGTGTTATCTATGAGGAACCCATAGAGCGCGCAAGTTGATGTGATGTTCAAAAAAGTTTGATTGGTGTATATACATCGCAATTCATTTTCCAATTTACCCACGTTTATCATGGGGTAAAATTTGGAGACAGTAGCCAACAAATGGATGGGAAATTGACGTGCAAATTTTGAAAAATTTTTGGGGTTCATCAAAGAGAACGCGGCAAGGTGTTCAGTGCGCAGACGATCGCCTATTTGATTCACCAGAATGTCACAGCATTCCTTTGCAGACAAAATCAAACGCTGCGTTGTTTGCCCGCGGCGTAAAGAAGCACTCCATGTGTCGTCGTATTTTATTGTTTCCCGGATACGAGATACAGCATCGCAGAAGTCTGAAATACACGACTGCACAGACGCTCCATCCATTAGCCTTGACTGCAATGCGCCGTATAATACATCCACGTGATAAATATTGTGGAGAAAAAAGCGAGAAAACTCACCATCTTCTAGCAGACGCTTTAGACCTGCCGCCTCCCTCACAGAGCGTTCGTCCCAAACCGGAGAGCTCTGAATGCCATTGAAACACTCAATGAGCTCAGACCTAATTTCGGACACGCCCTGCACCACGCGTGATTGGAAGTTCCAACGTGTTGGTGCACAAGCTGGGAGACGGCGGCTACATATCTGGCGAAGGAGGTCAGAGCGCTTCGGCGAAACGGAAAAAAATGAAGAAAACCCCGAAACATTTGCAAAAAATATACGGACGAGAGGGGTATCAAGACACATATTTTTAATAACGAGGTTAAATTGGTGTGCATAACAATGTAAAAAATGCGCATGAGGAAAATCTTCTTTTATATAAACTTGAACACCATGTTTCGACCCACTCATGACTGCCGCGCCGTCATAAGTTTGAGCTATCAATTTTGACTTCGCGTTGTAAGGCTGTAACACTTCTTTCAGTACAGCCGATATCCCGCAAGCCGTGCGATCAACGATTGGTACAAAGCTGTGAAATCTCTCGGTAGGTTTACCATCTTTCACAAACCGAAAAATCACAGCCAGTTGGGAAACGCACGTGATGTCAGTTGTCTCGTCAGACTGAATCGAAAGGAACTGGCAATTCTCAATTTCCAGAGCCAAATGTTGTAAATAAATTTTATACATTGAGTCGAGCAAATCATTTTGGATATCCTTAGATGTCCCTTTCGAAACAGTTGCGGCATCAAGATGATCTCTCAATACTGTATCTAGGGATGCGGTGTATTCCACCATATAAAAAATACCCCTCTATTAGAAGAGCCAGCCCGTTCATCGTGCCCACGGAGGGACAGCTCGTGACAACCAATGAACTTCAAAACATCTATCAATCGACCGAGAACATGGCGGTTTTTCTCGACGTTTTGGTTGTGCCGACGAATAGAAACCGCGGTCCTTCATCCAACTGTGCTGCAATATTAACATTTCCGAATGTTCGGTATTTTACTGCATTGTCCAGATCTCCATAGAAGATTGATGATCCCTGGCACGCTCGGAAAGATGTTTAAGATCTCTAAAACCAAATTTACACCAACGTGAGTCACGGGCGGCAGCAAAAAGTAGGCAATAAAAAAAAAAAGTGCATTTTTGTCCTCGCTGTAACACAACCATTCGTGTTTTTTATACCAAGTTTCTGCGCAGAATGTACGCCGACGCTTTCCTCCGTCATGGGATTGTTCCAGTGAACAATTTTTTGGTTGATAAGGCCCAAGACGTTGTACCTCTAATTTTTGTTCCAGCGGCAGCTGCGAAAACGGAGTGCGAAGTAGTGCATCAACCTTATTCATTATGAGGTCTAAGGCTAAGAAATGCGAAGCCGGAAAGAAGTGAGGAGCTCAAAAGGAATGTGGAAAATCGAAAGCAAATGGACTAAAGGTCTCTAACTGATTCAAATAGCGAAACAAGCGACAAAACGAAGGCGAGGAAACTATCAACTCTTCAAGCAACCAACGAACGAGAAGGAATGCGTGAATATGTCAACACGTTGTTGTAAGAAACGTCGGCATGGGTGTCGTCATAATTTCGGGGCTAGCCCCGATCGCCCCGATGATTTAGTAAAAGAAACAGAAAACAAACGAGACAAACGCGGCGAGTGGAAGATAAAAGAGAGAATACGATATACAATGAGCAACCGGGACAAAATCGGCGTCGCCCCGTCGACGTTCGGCGAAGGCTTTGCGAGCGAAAAATGAACCATGTCGGGAGAATATGGCTAGTGTAGACAGTTTTGTGCAACCGATATTGAGGTATTTTTCGAATATTTTTTATTATACCGAAAAAACAACCGGGGCATTGCCCCGGTTGGCCCTATTGACGCGCCGCCACTGCTGTACGTACCTTTAGACCACAGTCTACAAATATATTCACACCAAGCGAAGCAGTGAAGTACGGTTTACCGTACCTCTAAACCAGGGCTTCCCAAACTAGGGGCCGAAACGAATTTTCGGGGCCGCAAAGAGAGCACCAGTTTTACACAAAGTACCATATTTATTGTACTTTTCCAGACTCTTGATTCGAAATACAATTATTAAAAATAATGTGAAACAAAAATTCCACGATTCCTAATAAACACATCATCATACTGTGTAAATAAGACAGTGTCTTCAATTTTATTTCAAAAATAACAATAGGGCTTATTTTGGGTTGATGTAGAGAATAACGAGATTTTTTTCTTATGCCAAATATGAATACCGATTTCCATTAGCCTACTTATAAATAGCACATCTTCATTTAACGTGCGCTAAAACTTGAGGTATTTCTGAAAGTTAGATTTTGAAAAGTCCTTGTTGTGGTCTAACTACCTCCGGCCAGGGATATCAGTAACTGAACAAAACATAATTCTGTTAACGTATGTATGCTTCTATTGTTATGAAATAATTCAAATGTGAATGTTTACTTGAATTACCCTGTAAAATTACAGGGGCACAGCCGGGATTTCAAAAGGCCGAAAATGCACATCCCGCATATTTTAATGCAAGACTTCTGAAAAAGCTGCGATAACATCACTTGTTAAAAATAGTTGCCTTCCAGCTAATAATAATTTTTTCAGTCGCCCGAAAGACTGAATGACAAGATGAGCGCAATGATGTTCCACAATACCGCGGACTCAAAAAATGATGCGTAAAACGCTAGAACAATTTAAATTTACTAGCTTAAACTTCATCATGATCAAAAAAAAAGTAACGCGCGACACCGACTTTTACAGTAAATAAAGATAAAAACTATCCTGATAGCCAATATCTAATAATAAAAAACATAAACTATATACTTGATGTTCATCTACGACAGGAGTCAGTGCTTATGAGGCGGATTAACTGGTACATTAGTTAGAGGTATACCCGACATTTTCAATAACGTATACATTGACAACGATTCGCACAATTAAAATGAGTTCGTACGAGTACATTATATTTTTCTAAATACATGCTGAATTTTATATTAAAAAGAATTTTTTCAGTGAGTGAATTTTCTCCTTTTGTGGGTTCGTCCTGGTTGCCCTGATTAAATTGGTCACTTATGATTTAGTGTAGTGGTTTGCAAAGTGCGGCCCGCTAAACAACTTTTTAATTTGATCTAGTCCCCTTTGCGTTGCAAAGCTTATATTCGAGTCCAATTTATTATCTATGCCTATACCGTAATAACGTCCTAACAGCGAAGTGAACAACGCGATTCACAAAGTTGTTACTTGCCGAGCAGCGAACAATTATAAGGAAAATTCGGAGCAGACGCTAATTAATTTGTAAGAACGGACAATTGCAGATTAGGCAACTGGAAAGCAGTTTGAAAAAATTTAATTTTAAGAGATACAAAAGCTAAATGAGTTTTGGTTCCAGCCTATCAGTTGATTTTGTTTAAATCTAATCTAGAATAAGATTTGACAGCAAAGTATTTGGAAATGAATCTTGGCGTATTATACCGAAAACATCTCAACTAAGAAAACTTCCTACATTTGAAAATAGTCATGGCTTCAAATATGGCACTTTTCGGTTACCTATTTTTTTCTAAAATGAGCGTCATTTCTAATTGCTAGCATTTCCATTTAAGCAAATTTGGATAAAAGTAGTCGGGAAAAATATCCAAAACAATTTCTCACTGAATTCGTTGAAATTGGGTGTGACAATATATTTGAATTACAGTTTTAAGAAATTTATGCGTTTTCTGCAAGGACCCCTAATGTTGACGACATGAGATCAACAACAAAAAGACACTATTTTGTGCCTGCAACTAATAGAAAGCCTATGTTAAATGAAGGTGCATCCCGCGGTTTTACCCAGTTATTGATATTTGACCCGCCTGCAAAACAGGTTGCACACCCCTGATTCAGTACATGTTACTTAATACTGCTCTCACAACTATTCTGCTCTTCCATGATCGCGTATTCGTTTTCTAATCCAGACAATTAGTTCAAGAAAAATTTGTGTGTTTCGATTCATGGAAAAACGTTCGAGCTTGTAAGTTTGAATATTAATTTGGTTTATCGATAGCCACCACTGGGATTGCTAAAATCATATTGTGGCCTATTATGGATGATTAGTGCATGTTCAAGGTACTTACTATGACGCCTCTCGCCACTGGTACTTTTGCCGCTGGATTGATCCTCATTCATGATTGCTCATTTCGTGGCTTTCTATTTCAGCGATACTTATGGAAATGAATCAATTGATTCACAATATTTTATGAAATACACTTGCTCTGAAAAACAGGATGACAAAAAAAAAAACAGCCAAGAGTTTCCTAATCACTTCTATGAAAATGAATTAACCTATTTCGACGTCTTTCCAATTAAACTTCTGTTTATATATGATTGTACCCGAAAATTCAGTTCCTATTCAGCCCAGAAAATATGTTCTTATCTGATTAATGGTTCTTAAACTTTTTAGGACGCTCCCGTTTTTAGAATTTTTTGAAAAGATCAAATATTTTTAATTATCTTCACGCCCCCTCAAACAATTGTTTACGCATTACAATTTTAAAATACCCATAGCAAGTCATAGCCGAAACTTCAAAACCTAAAATCTTCGAATGACAGTTCACATTCTTGATTTCGAAAGCACCGAAAATTGGCATTAGGTAGCAATGTTACGAAAACGGACTAATGTTTGAATCCATAACCTAAAAATACATATGGATAAAGAGAGGTCTGAGCTGCGGTTATCATTTCCTTGTATTGCTGCCCTTTGTAATCTTTGCGTGATTTTCTTATTGTGGCAGAACTAACCTAATAAGTTTATACCTCGAGAAAACATCTATCACCTGGTCATGGAGTCTATATGGTTTCAGTAGCTTTTGGCATTTCCCGTGGTCGCCTTTGTTAGAAAATGAGTACTTTTTTATTTCTGAGTGGAAGTGTGTGATCTTGCTTTGGAACAAGTTCTCCGTTTTAAGTAAGCTAGCTAATGATGCCAAAAACTTAAGCAACCTAGACTAAATTAACAGAAAACAAACGCCTTGCTAGGAGATGAGTCTTTTTTTTTTTTATATCTGAGTGAATACGCGTGACCTTTCCATAATCCAGGGGTAGGTCCGCTACGCTACCCGCGAGGGGAAATGTAAAGAAATATGTTTAGTAAAGTAAATTGCCATGAACTTCACTTTTAATTACCCTGTATAACTCAAATATGGCATCTCTATCTATTATTATATAAGAAAAAAAAATTCCAACCTAAAACCGCTTCAAAATAAGTTTTCTAGTCATGCCCATGTCATTATATTCTTAATAAAAGCTCTCCGAGGCCCGCAATAAGCCAAAATCGTGACTTGGGGTTACAGAAAAAACAATTATTGAAAAAATGCATTAGGTTAATTTTTCCCTACGTACCTATGTACTTTTTTTCTTAATCATTCATTCTGAATACCGCCAAAATTCCGAAACTCATTGGAGCGTTACACGGAGGGGGAAAACCAACATTTCCGGTGGTGAAATATTCCGATTAATTATTCTCTTTGGTATTCAAGCATCGCTTTGCCCGAAATCCCATTCCAAGTGGCCCGAATCGTTCAAATAAAATAACGAGAATATCGATCGGAGGTTAGGGGATCCCCCAAAACAACGCTCTTACTCCATAGTGACACCGAGTGTGTCCCATCACTAATTAATTAATACCTCGCTAATTATACAACATAATTCATCAAAAATCAATAGGCTTCCGATCCGAGCTATGATGAAGTCACATGCAAAATTTGGAGCAGATTCAACCTCGCTTTCGTGAGATATCGCGTGCATCTAACAAACAGACAAATACCTATAACATACTTACCGATCTTAAGATCGATAAGTAATAACCAAGGGGACGTGGCTTTCTACACGTTTTCTCACCACTTAGGGGCGGAAGCACTGCCCCCACTCCCAATTATACTTGGAAAAATTCCCAATACTCGGGGAAACACTTTCCGGTCCTGGAAAACGGAGCTAAACGGCCTCTAACCCCCAAAATCACTCACGCGTGACTGATTGACATCTTGATTGACTTGCAAATTCTTGGGGCCACTAAAAGGCGGTTATGGGCCCACTTTCTTTGACCCGATCGTCTTGAAAATTTCTGTGTCATGCGAACAACGTCACCGAGCTACAAGCCACATTTTCCCACTAAACGACCTACATTTCGTCCGGATCGGCAGGCCAGTCCTCTGGGAAATAGTCTATCTTACAGCTCTATCGCTTTATACTAGAGCTATTTCACTTTGACCCACGCGCAAAGACTTTTGACCATTACTGTGCATACGCACTAAATTGCTACCGTATTGCCTTACCATAAAATACTGTTCAGCCACCTATCACCTACGCTTTTTGCGCAACGATTTCTGAAGACAATTGTGCTTTCGCACTGAAGTGCTCTCTGGTTGGCGGACCATCAAGTTCTTTGTTTTAAATAAGCTAACTATTGATGACACATTTGCCAGAAACTGAAGCAATCTTAACTAAATTAACAGAAAACAAACTAAACAAACGACCTGCTATCGTCATTAACTGATTAAGCATTTGTAAAAGTGGCCTATCACGACGTTGAACACTTAGCAACTAAATATTAATTTTTGCAAAATAATTAAACATTATAACTGCATTAAAAAACGTAATCTACTGCAAAGTGAAATTATCGACAATCATTTCGAGATTTGGTAGAAAGTCAATCTATCGCTTTATAGCGTGCGTTCACCATCGATTTTGTCAGCCAAGCAAACATTGGAAAAATTATGTAAACAGTCAGCGCGCCACGAATAAGAGCAAATATTTGTTAGCCCATACATGGAACGTTTGTACAGTTTAAGATAACACTCAACTGAATCATAATGTTACAGGGTTTTATTTACCCATGTGTAGGGTTTTGCATTTATACTATCTAATCATTTTAGTCAATGTAAGCGTTTGATTTCTGTATTTACAGTGGCTAGCTTAAGGCCTGTTAGTAAAATTTTATTACTCATTGCAAATGTTTTAAAACATATTTTGGAATTTGCCCGAATTATTGACAGACCCATTTAGCATGGTGGAAACAGACGGAAACTCTTGTCGCCTTTTAGTACAGTCTATCACTATTAATTAACAAATATGCCCCTGTATTCGATCTGGATATTTGGATGATTTTCAAGAATTTTCGACGAACCAAGAAAAAGTGAAAATATTTGTCAGTCCGTTTATACAGTATAAGAATACACCCAACTGAATCATAATGCTATAGATGTTTTATTTACCCATGTGTGGGGCCTTGCATTTATACTATCTAATCATTATAGTGAATGCAGGGGGGTGAAACTAGTCTAGAAAGTCACGCCCACATTAATAAAACAAACAAAGTTATTCGCGTTTCGAGTTTCTGCAGCTTCACGCTCCATTGCGATCACTTGATTTGCGCGAAGCTTAGTGAAGACGGTGGTATGTGCACAAAATGTCTCGCTGTATATTTTTAGCTCAGCAGCCAATGGGCCTAGTATTTCATTAAGTTGGTTCAATACTTTAATCAAATGCCGGTTGTCAATCTTAAGCTCGGTCTCTTTAGTTTATTTTAAGATAGATTAGATTTACTTTTCGGCTTCAACTAGTATTTCCCCCTCAAGACAACACAGGTACGGTACGGTAACTTGGCGTTCTATGAAACACCTCAATACTGCAATATTCTACCCGATTCTCGTAACCTAGGGCCTAGGCTACTTTATTTCTTATGTTCTGTGAGTCCGGTATTGGGTTACAATCTTTTTAGTTACACACCCTTCATTCTAGGAGATCTAATTCTACTATTATAACTTACGACTAACATACCAGCACTATAGTCTGATAGTATTCACAGATTTACCAAACACCAAAAGTATCAATTTTTTTTTCAAAGTCAACTCGTTTTATCTCTTCTTTACGTTTTTGTATTACTTTTTTTAGAATTGCATAATTTGTATTATACTGTTATAGGCTATTTATTTACATCACTCATCAACATGAGTAATCGATGCTGCATTCCAGTAGATGAAAGTAGCTGAAAGAGGAAAGTAGCTGAAAAAATATGCCATAAAAATTTGCAAGACTTGAAAAAAAGTCCATCAACTTATTTTCCTCCCAACTGGCAATACCAGAATTTAGGAGACAATATTCAATTTTCAAGTTTAGCTATAAACATTGATTCAGAGTTGGAGATCGGTGCGATTTATCATGGCTGGACTAGTGTAACATCGGAAGTCCTAAATAATATTAATGTAAAAGAAACAACTTTATCAAATATTCTGCATATTATTTAAACATCGATCATTTGTGAGGGGATAACTGGCAGCAGCAATTCCAGTCCTACAACAAGTCAACATTTTAAAATGTCCTTTTCGAGATCTAATTCGAACAAGGACCTCCACAGCTTAGATTGCTTGCTTTAAGGTATTAAATATTTTTCTAATCATCTGTTTCAAGAATTCACCACTGGTGTTGATATCATCATGTTAATACCTTGAAAATTTTACAATTTTTTCACTAACAAAGTACTTGAATCAGTAACTTTAGCTTGTTTGTCTGAGCGTAATACCTTCTATTTTTACTTCCATTAACAGTATCATCTTGCGAATGGCATAACAACACTGCTATGTGGGCACTTCCTTTGAGCAATAATAACACATTTTTTTGATCATTATTTTAGATTACTAAATTGTGAAATATTTATTTCATCTGGGAAAAGATGGGAACAGTGTTTTGAAGATTTCCCTTGTTTCACTTCTATTACGAGCTCAGGGACTCATAGCCAATTAAATATACATACACCTGTCCATAAGTTTCAGTTCCTTTACACAAATTGATGTAAAGTAGGCGAACAAAATTAGTTGAGGAGTGCCCAAGTTTATAATTGTACAATTATTATTAGTAAACAAACTTTCATGTGCGAAATTTGGTTCAAAACCTGACATAACTTAGTCGATTCAAAATATTTGAAGATGAACCTTTTTCATCTTTTTAGTCAAAGAAAATATTGTCTACAATTCAAAAGAGGATATGATGGCTTTGTTGACTTGGGAGAGTCGAGAAAAGCAGAGAAAAAGTTCCTGCACGCAATGCACTGCAAGTTCATGCACATGGTTTGATTGGGAAGTTTTAAGGTAAGGCAAAACGGTAGTTATTACGTTATCCGCTAAGACCATCTCGCTAGCATTTTCATTTTCTGGGAAAGTGTTGGAGAAGTGGGTTTGGAGCTCATTACAGATGGACTTGGTGCAAACCGTAAAATGTTCCATGAGTTAAATAATTTGAGGTTAACTTTCCCATATACATGTTTTAATGGTTCTGATCATTTCAAATTACTCAAAACAGTACGCAATAATGTGTTTGCGAGTCACGCTGGTGGAATTCGCCTATTAAAAAAGATGACCATTTTCGTGCAGTACCCTTCTTTTTCATCTGAAGAGTTCCGCTCCTGCAAATTGACGGAATCCCACTTGTGCTTACAAAGCTACCTAAAAGTGTGTGTCAAATATGCAGCCCAGGTGCTATCTAAGACTGCTGCAAGATTGATGAGGTGGGCCAGAGCTCTTGGTCTATGGATAAATGGTTTGATATTATGAATACTTGGCTAAATTTTGGATATGAAAAGGGGTGCTACCGTTTGTCCCGTAATATGTGTACCAGGTTGGGGTTATCAGGTTGTGCGCTATCTTGGTACACATCCTACGGGAGCGCCTAAAAAAATGCTCCGACCATTCCATAGCATTGGTGAGCGTCTGTTTTGGCTTAAAATTAATGTTCATTTCAGAAATACGCAACTGGAAATCATCTGTCGCTGGGACAGCTCAAACAGTTCTAGATATGCTGTATTTTTATTATGCAACTTACATTGCCTATTGTCATGAAAATATACTATATTGCAATGAAAATTTTGTTATGAAAAATAGATTGCTTTGTTTAATTACTGCTAAAGTAATCAAAATAAAACTGGAATCACATCTAAACGAACTACCTTGCAAAATGAAGTGAAAAGAGATCATGCCCTTCATCCACAGTTATTTTTTAAGCAGTTTTCGTAGGGATAAATTCTTTTTGATGGCACCTTATTTTTCCAAGATGTCCAGCATGCTAGTATCGTTTTGGGCGATATCAAATGATTCTATATTAAAATTTTCAAAAACTGTGGCTGTAACACCTTCATGAGCATAGTTTAATCTAAATTCAATTTCGAGCAGCTTGGACACTGGTACGGTTAGGCGTCCATATTCTGTTTCCTGCATTACTGCAATCATAGAGTCAGTTATCAAACAGTCCGGTTCGGGATTAAATAATGACTGGATTCTTTTGCAGTCTTCCGGGTCTTAGCATCGTTTTTGCATTTTTTGTAAAATAAACCCAGCAATGTATTGGATTATATGGACCTCATCGTCATTCAATATGATAGAACTTGAATCCAGTAAATCTGGAAAACATAGGGAACAGGTGTGTAATATTAGGATATCGCATTATTGATTACCATGAATGTCAATCAAACAGGGTCAATACTTGAAATTAAAATCGATCAAGCGCCTGTTAAGCTGGTGCGCACAATGTATGAATCAGGTAGTGCTTTATTGCCTACATTCAAAACCAATATTGCTTAGAAAACAGTTGCGTTTTATAGCCTATGTATGAATAAAAACCCAATTGAGCAATTTTTGCCAGTTAGTCATATGTTCCGTAAAATTATGGTATCTAAATATACTCAAATCCAGACAAATATTAAGCACCGCACCTTTCGTTTTATTCATTTCTTTGGCTGTGAATCTATCAAATAATTTTCCGACAGACTGGAGGGTATAGTAAACCTGAAATACTCTGTTCGAGTGTGAGGAATAACGCTAACTGCATCACAGCTGAAGGATAACATTTGATCACTCAGGACTTTTTTTCAGCTACAATTGTAAGTATTTGACCACATTTTGCAAAATGGGCACAGTGGCTGCAATGATCTTCCACTACAATTCTCCCCACACTAATATCTCAGCCTGAAAATAAAAAAAATTCAAAATTATTTTGACAGATTTATCCCATGGTGGTTAAAAAAAATTGCTCTTCTATCTTGAGTTGTGGAAGTTGTATTAATAATTATGGAATTTGTGTAGGAGTCTATAATTATGTAAATCTTACCTTGTTTGTGAATATGTTGAGCCAAAGATGCCACGCTGGAAAATAACTTTTTACACGTTGAGCACCTAGAAATAAAACATAAGTTAGTTTTTATAAATCTCAGAATAAGTTGTTTATTAGCAATAATATTGTCATGAAAATATCACATTTAAGTATGTCTCTATCTATAGAATGAAATCCAGGAAATATATTGATGGTAAGATATTTGAATGCATGATCTGTTGGGGGGCATTAAATCTCTCCTAACACTTTTTGCCCTCTGTCTGTCTGTAGCTCTCTTTTCAATAGCTGTCTTACTTTTGCTCATTCAAGGTAAACTTTTCTTCCATTGCCTCGTCAAGATCTATGAATACTGTCAGTTTATGATCCTCTAACATGAATGAGTCTAGTACGGTACAGGCAGACAGGTAATGTCTGAATGTATCATCAAATTCAGGATCTGATTCAGAGATTTAAACTCGGCAGCTCTGTCTATCATATATCAGCACATGGTAGCTCCCTGAATAGTCACCCGCCAATGGAAACATACTGATAGTATATATCTAACGTATAGAAATGGTAGACTTACCTTCATTAGCCATAACAGCCACTGATTATATAATAACTACAGCCCTTGAGTCCGATGCGACCAACAGATAAGGTGAAACTGCAGCAAAACGCTGGGAACTCGAGTGGGCGTTAACGAATCAAGTTGCCGCAATGGAGCGTATCGCGTCAGACACTCCTCATTGGTCAAGGCTTTAGTTGCGCATCATGGTATGTTAGTCGTTGAGTGAATGTAAGCGTTTGATTTTCTGCATTTACCGTGACTAGCTTAAGGCCTGCTAGTAAAGTTTTGTTACTCATTGCAAATGTTTTAAAACACCTTTTGGAATTTGCCAGAATTATTGACTGACTCATTCAGCATGACGGAAGCTTTTGTCGCTTTAAATAGTACAGTCTATTACTATTAATTAACGAATATACCCGTGTACCCGTCAAATGGTCAATTTGGCCATTGAAAATATCGTTTATAATGCCGATGGCTACAAGCTTTCATTGATCGATAAAAAGAAGATGGCATGGAGCTAGTTTCAACATACAATTTTTAAAATACATACCATTCCGTTGCACGTAATATATTGAAAAATTGAGCTGCTCAGCTTACCGAAATTGAAAAGTATTTGAACTGAAATCATATTGACAGTATGATATTATAACCTTGGGTACTTACTGCCAATCGCTAACATTCTTTATCCTTCAAAAATTTAATAAATTCGTGCTATATGCAATGTACTATGTCATGTTGCTTATGAATGGACCTTTCCCCGACCTTTGACCTTTATTGTTATGATTTTGGTCGCTCAGACAAACATTGCAAATATTCAGGCTTGTGTAGGGCGATAGAGTGGTACGTTGCTCGTTTTAAAGGCCTTCGAATGGCATTTCACTGGTGATAGCGGTAATTTCGTGCTTCTAAAGTTATAACATATTGTCAAGTGATCTATTATTAACGTTATTCCGCCTTCACATTGCCGTTAACGTACCTAACTTAGTTCTAAAAGCTCATTTAACATACAAAAATGGAATCACTCAGAGATGACTTTTTTATGACTTGGTTTTCCAAGAACTTTTCTTTCCCCCAGCAGAAGAAGGATACAAAACTTTTCATTGAAAGGTGATATTTAAACTTATATGGTTGAAGAATCTCAGAGGGTGATGATAGAACTGGGAGACCTGCGTGACTACCGGTACGGTACCTGTCCCATATCCCATAGTTCATAGACTGATGGATAGCGTCCAAGTTAGGACTGAATTGGTGGGTTTAGTATAGGAACAAATGAAATGCAGGGGCAGTTAAAAACGTCTTTTAGATACATTCTTGGAAACATTGCACAAACTACAGAAATCTGTAATTCTGAACAGGTGAATATTTTTTTTAGATACCGGTACATTCATGATGTTTCAGTCGTCCATCTTGGTTCAACGCTAGATTTCAAAGCCAAGTGCGTTAGATAAGTTCAGGAGTCTCTGCCACCACATCATCCTCGAATAGTGGTGTCGCTGGATAGTCACCAAGTCTCTGATGCAATTTGTACATGCTAGGAACAGTGAGGGCACTTGAGTTTATGTCGTATCATAGAAACACAGATTTATTAGCTCAGTAAGATGGGTGCAAATATACTATTGAAAGATTAGATTCAACAGGTTTATTGAGGTATTATGATCGATTACATACCACATAAAATTACAAGACCAATAATGTTATAGTGATAAACATGGTTTAAATGGACTAACCAAGACTATCCAACAGATGAAATTGAGAGGATTAAAAGATTTTCCGCTGAGCCAAGCATGTACAAGCCTTCCCCAGCATTGGTAACAACCTATATGGAGGGAACAAAATAGATCCAACAGTTGTCGTTTGTAGTTGGTGCTAATCCCACAAAGTTAGATCGAGCCAGAGTTCCAATCATACCGGTTCAACCAAAAACAGTCGGTTATGTGATGGGTTTTACAATATAGTTTATTCATTCAGTGTAGAAATAGAATATAACAGATTATAAAAAATATATGATGAAGGAACAAGCAAGTAAATCCAAGAAAATTACTACAAATTATACAGTTTTGCAGGTATTGTGTTGTATAGGATAAAAATACACGCTAGATATATGCTTTTGGGCACAACAAACAAAAAACATGAAAGCAATGGAGCGTCTGAGTTATTTTATTAAAGCTGCCTGGTTTCATCCCCTGATAATAAATATGGAAGAATTGCTCTCACTGGGCACTACCTCATTGTTATATAGTCAGCCCATAGTCAGATGGCCAAACACCCACCACTTGGTTCGGTTCTAAGATTTACCAGGTGATTATGAACAAGTTGTGATTTATATGACAGTGATAAATGCAAAACAACCTAACCAAATAAGGATATTTATCACACACTACAAATACTACCAAGTGCAGGGCCAACTTCTGGTATCAGGAGCAGCTTGGTGTGACTTTGCAGTTGCAGTTCCAATTCTGAATCTTGTTAATTCTTTCGTGCCCTTTTATTAATATTATTTCTTTTTCTGGTAGGTAGTCGCGTACTTTTTGAAATCTATTTTAAGTTATGCTCGACTTCCACTTTTCTCTGCATTTTGTTTGTATGTTGACTTTTGGTGTTGTTTTATGCCAGAGAAATAAAATGATGATGATGCTTGCCTACATTTTTCTGCTGTCTGACAAAGCGCTGTCTTTTTCATCAGCGGCACTTGAGGTAGTTTCAACTAAAAAGTCTGGGGGCAGATCTGGTTGGATCCCTGACAATCCTTTCTCACTTTCGTCAGATTCACATGTCTCTGTATCAAATGAAGTATCTGGTGACAGATCCTGTGAAATTATGATCCAAAGTTAAATTATGGTATAAGTAATCCTTACCTCACAATTCGATGGTGCTTTTCTGTTGGGCGACAAGAATCTGATATAGGGTCAGGGTATTCATCAGTTGGTCCATCGCCTCCATGAAAATGCATGATGGAACGCATTGCTTGTATGAAAATTTATTTCATATAAGAATTAACATATTGAATATATCATAGGTATTGAAAAAAATATTTATGTTGGCCTACCTTGGTACACACGAAGGTCTACCTTGGTACACACGAAGGTATTTCTGGTGATTTTTCCTAGATTGAATATACTGCGAGGCCTGTTGCATTCCTTTATCCACCTCATTTCTTTTTGGCAGTCAATATGTGGCTTCGGAAAAGGCACAAATCCTACTCCATTTGAACAGCAGGGGTACCGTACAGGTTGTCAGACCGGCAAATATCATATGCACAGCGTTTACACATAGTTAGTCTACCAAAATAATTCACTAATAGATTCTGTTTAATAAAAATGCAACATCGTATCGAAAACAAATTCTTTTTTTTCTAACATACGGTAGGCTACCGGTACCCTTGATTGCATCAGCATGATTGTCTACTATTTTTTGGTTCGAAATAGCAGTTGTGACCTGTACAGTACCGTAACCTGTAAGGTGCCTGCAACGGGTACAGCCCTTTAGTATAGTATAGACAGGGATGGCCAATTCGAATAAAGTATTCGAATGTATTCGAATATCTCGTCATTCGAATATCGGAATTAGCGTTCATAAGAATATCGGATATTTGTGTGAGGTCACACATTTTCGACGCGCTCTCAAGACGTTTTCGTTGAATGAAAACATTCTCTATAAAAACTTGCGCGTGATTGTTTTCATCACTCATCAGCGTAACGTGTTATTTAGGCCGTAAACGCCTTTACGTTTGTGTCATTTTCTCTAAAACGAAAAATTTTCCACAAATTTGTTCCACGATAACGAAGACAATTATTTTATTTTGTACGCGCACGAAATTGTGAATCTGGTAAATACGTTCATCGGCGGCGAGTTTTCTAAAGACAACGCAACTTTTTGATTGAAAAGCGGCAATTTAAAATACTGAAAATAAAACCGTAAACAATATAAGTTTTATTGAGGCCCGCGAAAATTTAAAAAACGCTTTTCTAGGCAGTGAAAATCGCAGAATTTCGTGTGCCTCTGGCACACATTAGGTTTGGTCGGCGTTTAGAAACATATCGTCACGACTTGAGGGCGGTATTTGCCTGATTATCCATTACTTTAAATTGCCGTCGAATATTTTCAAAGTATATTTAATCAATTTTATTTTGATGAAATAAATTTCACTCGGAGATGTTACAGAAGATTTACGGATTTTTCGAACGGTTTTATCTAAAAATAATCAGAGTGGCAGGATTTCGATTGAGCGGAGACACTGTTAACAAGTACATCTAAATATTTGCCGAATTCGCAAAATACGGATCAAAACATTATTTAAATCGGGCAGTTTACCACACGTTTTTATTTTTATGACCCCGGATTGCAATGGTATATAAGAGTGGTGAGGATTTTATTTTGTCGACGCAATCGCAGGTTAAATTGAGGACAATTAAATTAATAATAAGGCAAGACATTTTAAATATGCCCGTATCGGTCACGAATTCATCACTTTGCACAACAGAAAAATATATTGTTATATTATTTGTTGTAAAAGTCGACTCTTTTAACAGATGGCATAATCGCGGCGATGAATATGTATTTTCAATTTACTGCTAAACTTTATATTTATATTCATTGTATGAAATGAATTATACTCTGCACTTAACGGAGATTTTTCTAATGGCGATAACGAGTTGGCAAGATTGCAAAAATACGTATTAAAATTAAATACATCAGGCAGTTTATCTCGTACTTACAGGTCACAGATCGCCGTGGACCGAATAGTAATGTTTTTTTTTGGACGTAAGAAGCAACCGCGAGTTACGTTGGACACATTAAAAAATTAATATATAAAGATATTTTAGAAACTCGTAGTTGTCATGGATTGAATATTTTACGTAACAGAATGATCATTATACGCTGAAAAGACGGCTCTTTTAATTAACAAGCGCGGAAACGCGGTGGGTTTTACCAGAGTTACTTTGGGTGTTACAGGCGGCAATGGGAATTTCCGATTTCGAAAATCCTGGCTGCGCGGCTGGAAGCGGTGGTCATTTATCCTCTACTAATTTATTTCTAATTTCAAACACAACAATATGTTACACATAATGACAATATGGTTCACATAAATTAATATACAAATATACTGGTAGGTAGTAGAATACTCTATGCTTAAATCTTCGAATTTTTAAGGGCATAATGGATTTTCGATTGTTGTTGCTTGTTTCA